GTTAAACAAGACTGGGCCCAGTACTGACCCCTGAGGGACACCACTTGTTACCAGCCTCCAACTAGACTCATCGCCACTGATGACAACCCTCTGAGTTCTGCCATTCAGCCAGTTCTCAATCCACTTCACCGACCACTCATCCAGCCCACACTTCCTGAGCTTCCCTAGGAGGATATCATGGGAGACTGTGTCGAAAGCCTTGCTGAAGTCCAGGTAGACAACATCCATGGCTCTCCCTTCGTCTACCCAGCCAGTCATGTCATCGTAGAAAGCTATCAGATTGGTCAGGCGTGATTTCCCCTTGGTGAATCCATGCTGACTGCTCCTGATAACCTTCTTTTCTTCCACTTCTTTGGGCGATGAGACGCGGCGTTCCGCTGTACGCTGCGCATCGGACCGTGGGCTTTCACAGGGACCTCTTTGGTGGTCGCGGGGCAAGGGACAAGGTACTGGTATCGCTGGAGACCTCTGGGATGGATCCGAGGGGTCGCTGCCGCTGTCCCGCAGACACGAGAATAAGCAAGCACGGTTTCAGCCAATGAGGACCTAGGACATCCCAGGGTACTTTCAGTTTCCCCCTCCTTTTCTGTGCCAGCCTTCCAGTCCTCATATACACGTTATGGTCATCTTTCAGCCTCACGGTCACGTACTTCTCCCCGCTCCCTCATGGTCTTCGCCTTACATGCCTCACAGCAGGGATGTGCTGTGGGTGTGAGCCTGACCTGCCTAGAGAAGAAGGCTTTTTCGGGGTGGAAGACCCCTTTTTACATGACAGGGGGAAAAGAGGGTCAGGGCACACACTGGGCTGGTGATTGCTGCCCTGTCCTTGCTCCTGTCGTGCAGCTCCTCTAGGAAACCACGCCGGTCACGTAAACCACGAGCTTTGTGGGTGGTTCCCTCTGTTTCTGATTCTCTGGGTTTCTGCCCTGAAAGCATCGGGTCAGGTTTGCGGATGTGCCGAGAGCTCGCAAACTGAAGTCAGTGGGAGCTGAGCTTTGAACTCCCCGCTCAAGTACAAAACCGGGCCCAAGGAGGATGCCCAAAGTTGAGATGTGCCTTGTGCCATTTCTACCCGTGCTGCAGAGACGATGCTCCCGTCCTCGTGGCGTACCGGTACGTGGAGAAGGGCTAATCGTCAGGCTTGTCAAGTGCTAAGATGCTGCTGTCAGAAGTCCCTAGGAGAAAACTTGTAGGAAACCAATAAATTTGGTGTCTGAGAAGCAAACAAGTTGCAGGACCATGTGCTGACAGATGAGAATGCAAATATTGAACAACGTTTCATTAAATGTGCACTGCGATTATGAGAAATAACGTCTGAAGCTGGCTGCTGAGCACTGTGGGGGCAATCTGACGCGATCTTCCTGCTGTTTTTCAGACTATCGGCGAGTCAGAAATGCCCAGTGTTTTGAGCCAGTTATTGCCGATGATCAAGTCTTACAACGAGAGGACGAAAGATGATTACGCCTGCGAGGACTTCCTTGTCTTGCTGGTCTACATGTACTCTGTGGTGGGAGAAATCAGAAGCGGAAAAGAGCTGGACGCAGCTGAAGAGGAGGTGAAAAAGGCCCTGGTCCAGGCGATTTGCAATGAGCCAGAGCTGTCTCCTTTGCTGCAGAAAGTAACAGGTAAGATTCCGCTTGCGTGGTGAGAAACTGGATAGCTGGGAAGGTGGGAACTGGGAGGAACGTTCAAAAGCGGCTTGACTGGCCTGTGGTGCTGAGGGTACGTGGGTGAGCACGAGGGTTTCCTGTAGATTTGTTCCATCTCCCGTGTTCAGTATGCCAAATGCTGACAGGCTGGGCTTGAAGAGTGCTGAGTCTGGTGAAAGCTCGACAAGTCGCTCTGTTTGTTAAGGGTTGGCTGAGTTCGGGTGTTTTCATAAGGTAATCTTTCCCATAGTTTCTTTCATTGATCAGGGTAAAGTTGACCCTGGGAAGTCAGGATTAATTCTGGAAGCATGTTCAGTGAACCGCAGTTGCTTTGTGAATGCGAGGAGCTGGCCGGTCTGGCATAAAAGAAGAAATGTGTCTAAAACCAACATTGAGCTTTTTGCTGAAACGACGTGAACGTTAGCCTTCAAAAACAGCATGCTAAGCCTTTTTTTGGATGGGTGCTCATAGAGTAGGAGAGCCCTGACCTCTTGTGCCAGTGTCGCGTTTTAGAAAAAACGAATTGTTAAGAACATTCGTTGAAAAGAGTGAACTGAGGCTCGAGGGTGGCATAGCTGAATGGCAGAAGGGATCTCGCTTCCTGCTGTCGGTTTTCTCAGTATCTTCGAACAGTGAGCAGGTCATTGACCAGGTCATCTTTGAGGTAGGCAGCGTATGAACAGAAATCAAGATGTTGTGAGGAGCCTACAGCTGAAAGCCTTTGCCAAGGTTGGGCCTAAGTGGGGAGTCTCAAGGGAAGTAGCAGAATACTGCTGGTGGTTACTCTGGTACTACTCCCTGTGGACGCTTCTACTTCAAAATACAGCTGTGGTCTGACCGGTCTGCTGCTGCTTGGAGTGTAAAATACTGTTAATAGTGAAGAGACTTGCTGCAGGAATGGGCATGTTTGGTCTTGCGCTGTGCTGTTATTTGAATACTCTTGGCCATGGTGCCCTCGGTGTTCCAGGCATCTTGTAGACTTTCACTCTCCTGTTCTTCCATACGTCTGCGCGTGTTGTCCACCCTCACACCTTCAGCAGTGTCTTCTGCTGTCATTTCTAAACCTCCGTTTTCATCCTTTGCCTGCTCTCCCATGGTGGCAGTGTTGGAAATCACAGTTTTATCAGTGTCTCTTTGTTGTGCCTCATGTGAGTCTGGGAAGATCTGAAGTCTCCAAAACTTCAGTCGAGTGCCAAAGAGAAACTGCATTCCTATGTACGTAGATGGTTCCCTTGTTGCTCTCTGTGCTCATGGGCTGTGTAGTTGCAAGCACAGATGGAGATCAAAATAGACATTGTGCTTGTCTCACGTTCCATAACCTGTCAATAATTCCATAGTTTTTACAAAATACTTGTATGCTTGATTTCCAATGTGCACATTTCCTGAGTAAAAGTGAATATTTGGGTGTTTGCTCTCGACTTCTGGGCAGATCAACAGGTGAATGAATGTTTCAGTACAAAGATTCTTTAGTTTATGAAATAAAATTAGTTCTGTCTTTTTACATAGAGGGCTGACTATTGGATGCATGGTGGTTCTCTGAAGCACGGCGTTCATCTCCTTAGGCAGAAGTATTCACTCTGTTACGTGGGGCTTCTGGCGACGAAAAAGAGAAAGCCTTGACACTGTGCAAGCGCCGGTCAGCAGCACCCAGAGCATTCGTGTGTTATCAGCACGGGGGTAGCCGCAAATCCAAAAGGCAGCACCATAGGAGCTGCTGGGAAGAAAGTTAACTCCATCCCAGCCAGACCCAGTTCAGGTGGTTTTAGACCAAGCACATCATTATTAGGTGGGGAAGTTAATTGCATCACACAAAGCTGGAGTCCTGGCATGCAGGACCGTGTTTCCATACCTGTGTGTTTAGCACAACCATGTTTGTGCTTTCTGCACAAGGGTGTTTCCCCCTTCTTGCGTACTTTTTTGATTTATCAACATTCTTTGGTTTTGCGTCTTATTTAGAACGACAGTTCTTTTGACTTATTCATAAAAGAGGAAAAAAAAAATTAAAACTTCTTGTCATGACCAAAAATAAGGACTGTCTTGGGAGGAAAGTATAAAATGGAATTTCTAGGAATTCCCCTTAGGTAGTTTTCAGGCCTTTACTCATCCAACAGATTGCTTTCTCAGCATTAGTGGAATTTGCTGAATTTGTAATTTGCTGTGTTTGCGGTAAGGTTGAATTGGGAAGGCCAAGGAAACATGAGCAGCCTGAGACCTCCCCTTCCTTGACCTGTGTTTTGCCAGGCCTGCGTTCTCCATCCTGCTTTCCTCTGAACCTTGGGCACCTTGCTCGTTGCTTGAGAGGTGAAGCAAGTCGGCACCATGGGAGCCCTGCAAGCTTCCCTTCAAGGGTGCAGCAGGAGAACTTTCTTTGTAGCAGGGCTGGAAGTCAGGGAAAAGATGGCAGCGCCAATTTCTCCTTTTGGTACGGTAGCTGAGACATCTTCTGCTTCCAGCAGAACAAGCTATGAGCTGCAGACCACGAATTCCTTTTAGCAGATACAGATTGGCCTATTTTCACCAGGTCATAGAATCATAGAATCATTAAGGTTGGCAAAGACTTCTAAGGTCATCAAGTCCAACCGTCAACCCAGCACCACCCTGCCTGCTAAACCATGTCCTGAAGTGCCACGTCTACACGTTTTTTGAACACCTTCAGGGATGGGGACTCCACCACTGCCCTGGGCAGCCTGGTCCAACGCCTGACCAATCTTTCAGTGAGGAAATTTTTCCCAATATCCAACCTAAACCTCCCCTGATGCAGCTTGAGGCCATTGCCTCTCGTCCTGTCGCTGGTTACTTGGGAGAAGAGGCCAACACCCACCTCACTACACCCTCCTGTCAGGGAGCTGCAGAGAGCGATAAGGTCTCCCCTCAGCCTCTTCTTCGTCCCCCCAGCGCCTCCTCACCAGCCTTGTTCTCCAGACCCCTCCCCAGCCTCGCTGCCCTTCTCTGGACACGCTCCAGCCCCTCAATGTCCTTCTTGCAGCAAGGGCCCCAAAACTGAACACAGTATTTCAGGTCAGCCCAGGTCTGCAATTTAGCAGCAGCCACGGGTCTGGACAGGTCGTGGTCCAGACCTACAGCGTTCTGCCCTCGTTTTACTTTAAGTCGGAAAGAAGAAAACACCTTTTTTGCTCTTAGATGGCCATAAAAGTTCATTAGATTAAAATAATTTTCAGTAATTCTTGGAATTTTTCGTTCATGTTCAGAACAAAGCAAAATGTTCATGGTCTTGTTTTCAGCTTTCCATCAAAGTGGTAGGAACACTGTTAAATGGGATGTGTGGGGGGGGACAACGAAACCAGTTACTGGGTGGGTTCGAGGCACTGCCTGCTGGCTCTCTCCTCACCTCCAGGTTGCCATGTGGGACGTGGGTTCCTGTATATTGAATATCCATTCTGCAGTAAATCTGCCCGCGCTACGTAGCTTGACCTGCAGAGCTGCGGGTTGAAGTTTCCAGCTCTGCTGGCGATGCGTGATGGGACAGCTTTCGTTGTAGCGACAGAGAGCAAAATCCGCTGTTGCCTTTCAAAAGTAAGGCAGAAGTCACGGAATCACAGAATCACAGAATGGCAGGGGTTGGAAGGGACCTCTGTTGGTCACCCAGTTCAACCCCCTGCCCAAGCAGGGTCACCCAGAGCAGGCTGCACAGCACCGCGTCCAGGTGGGGGGTCTGGAATATCTCCAGAGAAGGAGACTCCACAGCCTCCCTGGGCAGCCTGGGCCAGGGCTCCGTCACCCTCAGAGGCAAGAAGTTCTTCCTCATGTTCAGCTGGAGCTTCCTCTGCTTCAGTTTGTGCCCATTGCCCCATGTCCTGTCGCTGGGCACCACTGGAAAGAGCTTGGCCCCATCCTCCTGACACCCACCCTGCAGATATTTATAAACATTGATAAGGTCCCCTCGCAGCCTTCTCTTCTCCAGGCTGAACAAGCCCAGCTCCCTCAGCCTCTCCTCGTAGGAGAGATGTTCCAGTCCCCTCACCATCCTCGCAGTCCTCCGCTGGACTCTCTCCAGTAGCTCCTCATCTTTCTTGAACTGGGGAGCCCAGAACTGGACAGAGTACTCCAGATGGGGCCTCACTAGTACACGGGCTGCAAAACCAAGCGCTTCAGCGTTGAGAAATGCCAGTAACTCAATTTCCCATGCAACCATCGACTCCTGGGTGCGTTGTGGTGCACTCTTCAATTTCATAATTATACAGTGTATTTTCTGTGAGCCATGGTTGCATTCGGTGTGTGGACTGAACGCCACAGAGAACTAGAAAAACACAGCTTTGGTTCTTCTTACACATGATGAAGAAGTACTGACAAAGGCAGGGAGAGTCTCTGTACGATACTGAGCGCGTAACTGCCTCTGGGTCTCAGTTTGCAGCCCGGGAAGTGCCCTGGCACTCTGAGCTTTCTGCGATCCATTTTGGAACTTCAAGAAGAAAAGTATTAAATTGCATTTTTCAGGTATTGGTGATTACATTTCTTTGAACAGAGAGGACTTTGTGCTCTGTTTCCCGACAAACGTGGTGCCTGATGTTGGGGTTTGGACCCAACACGTTGCTAAGGCTGTGTGGTTGACTGAAGCTGGAATGAAACACCGTATCTCAGGACAAGGGGCAACGGGCACAACCTGAAGCAGAGAAAGCTCCAGCTGAACATGAGGAAGAACTTCTTCCCTCTGAGGGTGACGGAGCCCTGGCCCAGGCTGCCCAGGGAGGCTGTGGAGTCTCCTTCTCTGGAGATAT